CTGCCCGACTCTCGACATGCACAAAAGACAAAAAAAAAAAAAAAAAGGCAGTGTATCTGTCCATGTTATACCGCAAGATTCATTCTCGTTTTGCACATTTACATTTGGTGCGTAGCGGAACGAGTCTCGTTAGCAAGTGGTCAATTTTGAGCTATCCAAGTTCTAATGAGCCTCAAGGTTCGTCGGGACTGCTTTCTGGTTCTTGTTGTTCCTGGTCCTGTTTCTTGGTGTGGTTCTTGTGTGTGTGCTCCTTGTTTCTGGCTGTGTTTTTTTTTTTTTCCCCCCACTCCTTTTCATCTGCTTTCTTGTCTTGTTCTTGTTCTTTCTCCAGGTTCGGGTCTGGTTTCTGGTTCTGTTCCTGGTTCTGTTTCTGGGTGTGATTCTTGCTCCTTGTTCTTGGTCTGCACCTGGCTGTGTTTCTGGGTGTGGTTCTTTGTTCCGGGCTGTTTGCCTCCTGGTGCTGTTTCTGGGTGTTGTTCTTGTTCCCCTTTTTCTTTCGTCTGTGTCAGCGTGTGGCTGTGCCTTCTGGTGAGCGACTCCGTGAGCAATGTGTTAGCAAAAGCATTTTTTTTTTTTTTTCTTTCTCTCTTCTTTGTTCTGGTCTGACAGAGACATGCATAGAGACAAAATGATCTTGGAGATCAACGGCAGATCGACGGCCCAGATTGGACCATGATGATGACTACGGAGTAGTACTGACCCATTTTACACATTTCCAAAACTCTGTGACTCAGTGGCTATCTCTGTGACCCATTGCCTTGTTCTGTTTCTTATGGTTGCTGTGTGGCTGCAGAAGACACGACCCGCCCGCGTTCTGACGAGAGCGGACAAGGAGATGGTTTGCGTGGGTTGAGCAGATGGGTAGATAGATAGACGGATGACCCTTTGCGCATTTTCCGCGGACACCCTTCATACGATGTGATTGACTCGCGGCAGAACTACGGTTAACGTGTTACGGACCGATCGGACCGCGGGAGCAAATAGAATGGAGCGTGCACGCAACGATGTTTCGCTTCACCACGGTGCCTTGAGGATGCTCTGAGAGAGACCAACCTGCATGTAGGTGAGGTATGGGAACGTGGTGGTCGGACCGCCGACTGGGCCCGGTTTCCTGTCCCCGGAACTGAATTCGTCCTGTTTCTGGGTCTTGGTTCTAATCCTGGTCATTACTGTTAAAAAAAAAAAGAAAAAAAAAAGGGCGACGGTCTTGAAATATCATCATCGAGCTGACCGGCCCCAGGCAATTCAGGCAATTCAGAAATATCTGGTTTTATTAATCTAGAATCATCATCTGGATTCGAACTCTGGTCATTACTGTTTTTAGCTAACCTGCTTCGCTCTTATTGCTTGATCTGTTTCTTTCCTGTTTAGGGGGGCGACCTGTGGTTTGCTCGTCCTGGGTTCGGACCACAGGGCGCAGGCGCCGGGCGCGGAGGTGTCAGAGGAGGGAGGGGAAAAGGTGTGCAAACCTCGCCTCTCGGCTGATGCAACACGATGGCTCTGCGACATGTGATGCGTCAGCTTGCGTCGTCGCAACCTCCAGGCCTTTGCATTCGCACCTTTCGCTCTGCCACTGGTTTTCGTTCTGCAGCTAGCAGCTGCGAGAGGACAAGGGTGACGAACTGCCTGTTGCAGTCCTCGCCAGAAGGCTCGAACCCTCGAACATGGGCCGCCGAGCGCGCCCTGCACCCAGGGCCGACTTGGTCGCAGGTTCATCGCACAAAACCGATACATCCTACTGTCGCTGGTACGGGTCTCCACTTCATGTCCCGAATCGCCCAGTTACACTACAGACCCGAGGAGACTGGCTCTGGGCCATCTGGCCCGACCCCAGCCTCGGTGACGGCTGGACAGGATGTAGCTGCTGCTGAATCGGAGGCCGGGTCGGCAGCTGCAGCATCTGCCACACCGTCAACCTCGAATGTCGCCGCGACGGAGACGTCGTCGCCACCAGAAGGAGGCCAAGAGATGCAGCAGGAGAGTAAGCAGGCTAGTTCAAGGAGCAAGGTTCCCGACTCCTCGGCAGCATCGGAAGGCCAACAAGTTTGGCCAGGCGGCGGTGGCGTCTCTGTTGGCGACGAGGTGGCCGAATGGTGGAGGGGAGAAGCTGACGAGGACGATGAAGGGGAGGGTGGTGCGATGGGGGATGAGGGCGTGTCGAAGGAAGTGCAACGGATGGTTTCGCAGCTGGAAGGAAAGAGCCGCACACAACAAGCGTTTTTGATCGGTCAGATGCTCAAAGTGAAGCCACTCGCAGATGTGTTTGTCGGCGACCGCGAACTGCTCCAGCATATGAACCTTGAGACGAAGCTCATCGACGTCAATCGTGTCGATAAAGTGACCAAGGGAGGGAGGATGACGAGGTACAGCGCGCTAATTGTCATGGGGAACAAGGATGGGGTGGTGGGGTTTGGAAAGGGCAAGGCATCGGAGGTGGCCAAGGCACGAAACAAGGCGATTCTGCGAGCGCTGAAGTCCCTGCAGTACTGTGAGAGGTACCAGAACCACACGATATTCCATGAGCAAGTCGTGAAATACGGCACGACGAAGCTGTACCTGTGGCCAGCAAGATCGGGTACCGGAATGAGGGCGAACTATACAGTTGGGGCCATCCTTCGCTTGGCAGGCTTCAAAGACGTAAAGTCGAAAGTCATAGGCTCACATAACCCACATAACACCGTCAAAGCCACTTTCAAGGCATTAGGCCTCATAAAGACACCTGAAGATATGGCTAGGATATATGGGCGCACGGTGATTGAGAAGCCCATTCTGTATAAGTAGGATGGATGACCTCGCCCCAACTTTAACGTTGCCTTGCCTGCTTAACCTTAATTCCATCACTGTCCTTTTTGCAGGTTTCTGCCTCTGTCATATCCCTCTTGTCCTTGTCTCCTCCTCTTTCCTCCCCCTTGCTTGCTCTGCCCATGTGCTCTCTCTCTCTCTCTCTCTCTCTCTCTCTCTCTCTCTCTCTCTCTCTCTCTCTCTCTCTCTCT